CGCAGAGGACAGAGAGGACGCAGAGGACAGAGAGGACGCAGAGGACAGCAGAGGACAGCAGAGGACATAGAGCATAGAGAGGACAGCAGAGGACAGCAGAGGACATGGAGCATAGAGAGGACAGCAGAGGACAGAGAGGTTTCAGGCTGTGGTACTCCAGAAAAACATCCTGATGCAGACGCTCTGCAGTAAATATCACCAATTTAAACGAGTGCTTTTAACCGTCGCCTCCTTGTTTGAACCTCCGGGTCCTCCTCTGTGGAGTCTGGGTGCCACCGTGAGGCGGTAAATAAACCAACCATCAGCTATTAGGAGATCTGTACACATGTTCAGCATGCTGTCACTTTTATTTATGAGCTCAGCATGAGCTGTCGGCACTACACGTGCTCGAAACATTCACAGGGTTTCTGCCTCAGAGGCATCGGTTGGAGCAGAAACACCCACACGGACGTGTGTGACCAGTCGACGTTGCTATGGTCACTACTCATTTAACCCAACCGTTAACATTTTAATTGAACCTTAATACCCCAAGATGCAGCAACCCTTCAAGCTCACAGTGGAGATGAGCTTTGTTTGACAGCCGGGCTCCCCTTAGCGGGACAGGGCGGAGCTCAGCCATTCAGGAGGCACCTTGAGTGGAGCAGCTACGTCTCCACATTGAAGGGAGGCAGCTGAGGCGCTGGGCTCCTGGAGGTGGTGTCCTGGGCAGCTCCGACGCTTCCTACAGGAGGTGAAAGTACTGTGCAATACTCCAGAACATTGTATTATTATTAACTTGCTATTATTGAACAAAGTGCTGATGTTTTTGTTTCTGTGGAGCAACATGAAAGTTGAATTAACCTTTTAACAACCACACGTCATCCATGCCGTCATTAGTTTTTATACATGTATCCTCAGATGTGGAACTCTGCAGGAGAGCATCCACTCTAAGATGTTTTTATGCATCTGTCCCGAGTTACAGATTCATCTTGATATGAAGAAAATTTCAGCCTGTTGTCTTTAAAGGTTTGTGAACTATTCGTGAAAAAGGCAAAAAGGCCTGAAAGTGGGTCGACAGACCATAAAAAAGAAAAAACCATCTTGAGTTTTGGACACATGACGGGGCGATGCAAACCCAGGGCCGCCTCCTGTGAGGAGATGGTGTACAGCAGGATGCGTCTCCCTCTTTTTGAGGTCACTAACCAAGAGGAGCTTTCAGCCCAACCTGCAGGTGATGAAGCTTTCTCCTCATTGGCTGACACAACAGGAATAAATAAAAGATGCTGATCGAGTGTTTGTGCGGCCGCATCAATCCGAGCTGCTTGATGAACGGACACAGTAAAATGGAAGGCGGGGGAGTTCACACTGAAGAAAACATGAAACTGTCTCAGGAAAGAAACACCTGGACGGACAGGTGTGCGCGTACACCGACCCTCGTCAAAAGGTATTCTAAAGGTCGTGATGCGTGCTTTTAATAACCGAAGTGGAGCTTTACCACAGATCATCAACAGCGACCAGCTGATCAGACCGTTCTGGAAATGTAACATTTTTAAATGATTTGTTACGTTCGTGGTTTTCACAGTAAAAAAAAAAAAAAAAAAACCCTGCGTTTCATGTTTTTGTGTGACTTTAGCTCGAAACAGGAAGTCATGATGAAAACGCACCTGTACAGTCGGACACGAGGCGAAGCTGCAACAATGAGGTAAACAGGTGTTAAGGTGACGGTCCACAAGGCCAGGTATAAATGCAGCAACTTTAAATGACGTCCCTGAACCTGAGCGCGTCCTGCTTCTTCTGTTTACACGTCTTGTATTTCTGTGCATGTTTGCTGTTACCCTGTGGACGCACAGTCCAGTTTTTGGGTTTAGGCCTGCGGTGGCGGGTGGGGCGCCATGGTTGGAGCAGTGAGCCGAGCGTGCAGATTTACCTCCATCAGCAGCCAGAAGAGGTCGAGCAGCTGCTGGATGAGCGGGTGTTCGTCCACCGAACCTCCTCCCTCCAGAATCCCCAGCAGGAAGTTCATCAGCACGTCCTCCACCAGATACACCTTACACTGCAACCAGACAACCCCACCATCAGTGCACGTGACCTGATGACATCACATTTTCAGACAGAGGTGATTTCATCCATTCAAACGCATCGCCTGCACAAACAGCGCCCCAAACAGAGGATTTAGTTTCCACTGTGGATGGATTTAATCAGCTGCAGAGCACGGTGCACGAGAAGTCTGGGAATTAAAACAAAGGCCATCTCCAGTTTGCTTCAGTGAAGCCTTCAGAAACATACAAACCACACTTCCTGTTCATGTGGCTGCATGCAGTCTGTTCTTTTAAACTTTACAGTTACAGCTGTATAGCGATATAAAATCCAGCTGAATAATCTGCTTCTGTTTGTGTCTCAGCCTCACAGCAGGATCATGAGAAACAGTCTGAGTGACACTCAGCTCATTATTAGAAACTTTATGCTTCGTATGAACCACGACAGGAAGCGAGCCGACGTAGTTTATGCTTTTCCCTGTCGTCTCTTCTCCGTGTATTTAAATATGAGTGACAACGTCTGATAATAAAAACGAACTCTAAAAACCGACTCTGGTGGAAAAGTCCTGATCCAGAAACACGGACGACAGGAGCAGCCTCGTTTTAACCACAGCGCTGTTTAAGCACTTTGATTATTCAGTTAATAACAGAGCAGCGGTCAGTTTTAGCGATCTCTGAACACGCCCTGTTAGCTTCACATCGGTATCTTTGGTTGGTTTTCAGTTTCCTGACGCTTCATGCAATAAAGGAAAAAAGCTACAAACACATCATGTTTCACCATGAGTGGAGCAAAGTGGTTAAAGATGTGAGCCAGAGTGACGAGGACGGTCGGCTCTCCGTGAAGCCTCCACACGGCGCAGTCCTTCTCCACCAGCCTCTCCTCCTGCAGCAGTAAAGGACAGACAAAGGACGCACCTTTCACTTTACCTGCACGTCAACCAAACACCAGGCTGAAGACAGGCAATGCCATTTTCACCTGCTCGTGTTCCTACCTGAGCGTCGATGGCGGTGGACAGGACGTTCTTGATGTAGCCCAGCAGTTTGTGGGCCTTCATCAGGTCTGCAGCTGGAGGGTTCTGGAGGGGCAGGTAGCCGTCCACGGGGTACGTGGGTCACAGTCAAGTTAAAGACAAACTCACGACACCACAGCAGCATTTATCCAATCGAATTCAACTCATTGGTGTGTGTTATCTGGCTTCATGCACAGATAGAGCTGGGTGTCATCTGCATAGCAGTGTAAATGTATGCTATGTCTTCTAATGATGCTGCCTAAGGGAAGCATGTATAATGTAAACAGAATTGGTCCTAGCACTGAACCCTGTGGAACTCCATAATTAACCTCAGTGTGTGAAGAGGACTCTCCACTTACAGATGTTCCAGGGAAATCTTTCACAGCAAAAGAGTTGTATAAACCCATAAAGCCAAACAGCATTTTTCAGGTGGATGCTGAAAAAATAAAATGAGACCAGCTTAGTTAAAAAGAGCTCAGTTTGAAATCCTACGCCTGTAGAAGCTCTGTGCTGTCCATGACTCCACCATGCAAACGTATGGCCCTGATAGCTCCCAGGGGAGTGGCGCTAACACCTGCCGGCAGGGCTTCTGGACACTTTGCGGTTAGTTGTGAAGGATATCTGAGGGGCCTGCTGCCGAAGTTGAAAGCCACTGACTCTTTAAAGGAGAGGCTGATGGCGGGAAAGTAAGCGATGCCAGGACCCATCTTAATGTTGGTGAAGGCCGTCCCCAAAGACTGGCCGTTCCTGAGGACACAGAGGACACGCTCAGTGCTTTACTAAACAATGAGGACACATCAGAGAAGACTTCAACCACAAACGGAGTCACTGACAGCTTAAAAGCTTTTGATTCAGTCTGCAGACCAACATGTACAGTCTCATCTGTGACGGCCAGAAATCAGAATGATTTACCCAAAAAACTCCCTGAAAGGTTTATCAAAGGAAACGTGCCTAAACCTAATAACTGGCTGGGTGCTCCTTAGCAACAACAACTGCCTTTAAGCATCTGTGATAACCGTCAGTGAGTCTTTTCCAGCTGTGGAGGGATTCTGGCCCACCCGTCAGAATTGTTGGAGGGTTTGAGCTAGGGCTGGGCGATATGGCCTAGAATCCATATCACAGCATAATTTGAAGCATGTGCGGTAACGATATATATCGCGATATATTCTTTTCTTCTGTATAACGTATATTACTCACTATTAGGCACACAGGTGCAAGTGTTGCATTTTGACGAGAAATTTATTTGGTGCAAAGAAAAGCTGGATTTGAGTGAACAAAACTCATTCCTGCGTGCAAAAACTGTATTTCAGTGTTTGCCATTATCCACACACACACACACACACACGCACACACAGAGCAGCCCCTCTCGCTCAGTTTTTGCATTTGTGCTTCCTCGCAACATTTCTGCCCGCGCGCTCAACTCTTTCTCTACACCAGGGGTGCCCAATCCTGGTCCTCGAGAGCTACCGTCCTGCAGCTTTTAGATGCATCCTTGTTCCCACACACCTGAATCAAATGAATGGCTTGTTATCAGGCCTTTGCCAAACACGATGGCATGCTGAAGAGGTAATCAAACCATTTGATTCAGCTGTGTTGGAGTAGGGATGCATCTAAAAGCTGCAGGATAGTAGCTCTCGAGGACCGGGATTGGGCACCCCTGCTCTACACAGTTATATTTGTGCCACAAAACCAGCCAATCACAGACTTGGATGCAAAAAAAAAATCTGATTGGCTGTTCTGGTCTCCAATCAGCTCGAAATGACGAAATGCAATATCCCAGAATCCATTTCATCCAAAACTCAAACGAGGCAGTGGCGGAGGAACACAGAGGGGCGGAGTTTGAAATATTACTCTTTCTGGGTCACAAAATAAACTTTTAAGATATTTTCATGCGAGAATGTTTCTGTGTAAACTTCTAATATCTGCTCGGTTCATCAAGACATCACATATTTGCAAAAGTGCTCTCACGTTTTCGGAGATGCCTGTTACATGCATTCAAGCGTACAGCTCTGCTGTCACTTCCAGCATAAATGAAGACAAAACTAAACAGCAGTGACGTTTGTAGGGTTACTGAAGTTGGGCTAGCTGGTATATAATGATGTGCTACGTGATCGCTAGCGACACAGCTATGTTAGCATAAACAGTGAAGCTGGAGGACGAACGCTAACTTTCGATAAAAGTTAACATGAGGGTTCCTGATGGTTAGAGACAAATGCAATCCCATGGCAGGATGCTGTAAACAGACCAAACTTCAGTCAGGAGAACAACTGAGATAATCCACCCACAACACGAGGTTAGTCATTCATATACTGCAACAACATGGGAATAGAGCAGCTGGAGAGAATTCAGCATTAATGAATCAATGGTACAGAAGTGGTGGAAGCGCAGGTTTTGGCTTTCCCCATCTTCCAAAAGTGCTTCGTTTCTTTGCTATGACTGTCGCCCGGCATAAACATTGCAGATGATGTTTGCAGACGCTGCGATGCTTTCGACCAAAACAGGCGCAGCTTGATGACACCATCAACATGCGCTATAGCGGTATAGTCAAAATCTCTACCGTTGGCCAAATTTATACCGTTTATACTGCCCACCCCTAGTTTGAGCATGAACTGCCTTTTAGGGTCATGCCACAACATCTCAGTCTGACTCAGGTCATGACTTCGACTAGCCCACTCCACTAGCCCAAAGCCTTTAGTTTTTCTAAAGCCAGTCAGAGGTGGACTTGCTGCTGTGTTCTGGATCATTGTCCTGCTGCAGAAGCCAAGTCATGAACATATGTCCAGACATGCTCCTTCAGGAGGTTTTAGTAGATGTCTTCAGGTCCTGAGGCAGCGACACAGCCCCAGACCGTCTCACTACCACCACCATACCCTACAGCTGGTATCATGTTCCTTTCCTGAGATGCTGCTACTTTTACGCCACAGAGGCTCAAACTTTCCAAAAAGTTCAACTTTTGTCTCATCAGCCCAGAGTATTTTCCCAGAAGTCTTCGGGATCATCGAGATGTTTGAGGCTAGACTTTGTGTTGTTTTTGGTCAGCTTTGGTTTCACCTTTTTACTCCTTAATAACAAACAGTTTCATTTAGAAACTGCATTTTGTGTTTACTCGAGTTTGTCTGACATTTACATTTGTTTGATGTTCTGAAACATTTAAGTGTGACAATCATTCTGTATACCTAACATACGCTACAGATGTTTCACAGATGTTGCTTCTAGTCTACTCTGTCGTCACATTTTCTCAAAATTACAGTTTTATCTTTTTTTGTAAAGTCAGCTGCTCTGCTATCAAGAAACCTGTCTGTTTTTCTGATTGGTCAGTTGCTCCAAACTCCGCCTCTGTCACGGGCTCATGCTGACAGCTAGCCTGATAAACTCCAGGCTGACGTTAGGATAAGTGAAGGACAGAAAGCCATCCTGATATGTTGATGATCAGAAGTTCTCGGTTTGAACCAAAGATGTAAAAAGACGACCAAACGGAGGAAAGGAGGGAAGGAAAGGACCGAGGGACTCACAGGCAGAACGTGATGGTTCCTTCATCCAGGTCTATCAGACAGCTCACGATGTCTCCTGCTGCCCACGACTGGGGAGAGAAAACACGCCGTTATGGTCACATGATGAAACAGGGGCAGATCCCAGCGTCTGTGTTCACGCTCACCTTTCCGTAGTTTGTCGTCGTCACGTTCCACTTTCTCACTCTGTTTCCGTCGTAAGCGTACGAGTCCGGCGTGTCACCTACACCCTCCTGAGCACAAGAACACACTGTTCAGCATCGCCGTGCCGCCATCCTTCATGGGAACGGATGCAGCAGAGGTGAAAAACAGACAGTTTTTAATAGACGCCCTCAGACACCGACCACAGAAAACTCGATTTAGCTCTTTGAAGCAAATATCCAGCTTCAATTACTTCTTTTTTAAATTTACCAACAAATATTCCAACGTTTTTGACACGCAACATTAATGTAGGCGTAACAGTCAACTTTGTGCTTTAATCAAGCATCAACCTCCACATCCTGCAGTTCCTCTCACGTCCAGCAGAAGCTCCAGCAGTGAGTCCACACAGACTCGCATTAAAACTTTGCAGAGGAAATAAAAAGGTTTACATCCTGATACACAAACTGTTTGGTGTGTATAGATCATTTCCTCCTTCATAACAACAATATTGAGAAACAAGAAGAAAGTCAGTCCCAGCTGTCCCAGTTTTCCATGCGGCTCATGATTGAGCCCCCGGGTTCATGTCTGCAGTCTTAATGGAGCCATTGACGCTCACTGCATACTTCTGCAGGATGAACCTGCAGCATTTATTTATAACAGCTCTGAGCAGTTCCCAGTCGAGTTTCATGTTTTGTTTTCCCCACAACATGCGCCGTGTCAAGGCCTTTACAGGGTTCATCATCAAGGTGTGTGTATACCTCCTGATTGAAGCGACAGCTAAGGGTACACCAGCCTATCTGCATCAGACCCTGAGAGGAGATCAGCACCTCGTAGGCCCACTTCCCTGCAGACAGAAACAGCCCAAAATCATTCTCCACATCACAACAGTCGCCTCAGGGTGCTTTATATTGGAAGGTCGACAATAATACAGGAAAACCAGATCAGACGACCTTTCTAAACTGCACTTTTATTGTGAAAAGCACGCCCATCTGCAGAGAAGGTCACGTTTCCTGTGACAGTTTTTTGTTTAAGGGCTCATTTTTGTTGTGTGTCATATTTACTGAGTCAGTTCAGCACAAACCCAAAAGTCAAAGCTTTTTCTGAGACAACGTACCTTTATAAACACAGGTGGTCGCTCGGATGGAGCTGAAGTTGCTGTGGCCGATGACCTGAATGCAGAGAAATTCATCACACTTACACACTTATCACACATAGGAAGTGTTTTTCAATCAAAAGTCTGGACAAACATCAGCCACGTGTCCAAACTTTGACTGGTTTCACTGGTTTATGGTCTCCGGCGTGTCTCACCCCCAGCAGGTCGTCGTCTACAAACAGGAGTCCTTCAAAGCCGCTGGTGTGATCGAGGACAACGGGCTGAGGACCCAGACGACCGTCCACAGCCTGACCTGCACAGGTTCAGGTGACGGTGTTATCAGACATTTGAGCTCGTTCTGAGTCACAGACCATAAGGTTTGGTTTTAAAGGCAGACAGACGCTTCCAGCCTTACCGTCCTCCGTAGGCGTGTCCTCAGACAGCAGCTTCTCCAGGTGAGCAGGTAGATCCTGGAAGCCCAGAGGCTTCCTGAAACCCAGAGTGGCAGGAAAAGACGACAAAGGGACAGAAAAGATTTTATTCTCAGAGTTGTTCATTATCGTTTCCTCCTTTCAGCTCAGTCTGATTTTTCCATTTAAACTTCGTTCACTGACACAAAGACCAGACTCGTTACACAGAAAAACACCAGCACATGACTCTCACATCAGGTAATCACAGCACAGTCATTCAGTTAGAAACAAACCCAACAAATATTTATCAAAAAAAAGAAAAATAACAATTATTAAAAAACTATTTTGGGAAGTACAACAGTTTGTAAAAAAGACAAGAGAAAGAACTACATCCTAAAAAAACCCTGAAACATAAAAGTCAAAGAAGTCCACGACTATAAAAAAAATCTTCCTACAGCATGAACCAAGATTCAAAAACAGAATAAAAACAAAAAGTTAGATAGAAAAAGAATCGGACTTAAAGTCAAAACTACAATAAATCAGATTTTTTCCCCAGAGACAATCACAGAAATAAGAAATCACCAAAAAGAAACTGGTTACATTTTAAAATGTGTTGTATAAAAAATATGTTTAAAAAACAAAACAATCTGACTATTTATAAACACACACCCAAAGTTCATTTTTGCAGATTATTAAACAGGAACAAATATAGAAAAATAAGGTTAAAAATGAACAAAATGAAAATTTACAGTTAAAAAACAAATGAAAAAAGTTTTACATGATTAAAACGTTGATGTTTGTTTTTAGATTTCATGAATTGCATCCGTGTGTGTGTGTGTGTGTGTGTGTGTTTAAAGCTGCTGAAGGTAACATGAACCTGGCCGGCTTAAATAACGCGGCTCTGAGTCACTAACCAGGAACTCAGGACGCGCGCGCGCGCACACACACACACACACACACACACACACACAGTAAGCAGCAGCTGTGACCGTCGGCCTCATTCCTGCGTCTGGTTTCAGTTTTACAGCCTCGCACATTTAAAATAGAAACAAAATCAGTTTGTGTTCAGCTTGTGTTTAGAGCTGTAAAAACTGAACCTGATGGTGGTCTCGCCTCTTACCTGCTCAGAGATGTGCATCCGGGGGGGGGTGTCACAGCATGAGCTTACCTGAGCGAGGCCAGTGTGGGTCCCTGTTTGGTGGAGGGAAACACATGGTGTAGGTAGTCGCTCAGCATCTTCTCGTTCACGATACCTGGCAGAGGGACAGCTGACTCAGACAGACCAATCGGAGGGCAGGAGTGGTGGGTACGTGCTGAAGTGACTGAGCATTCATACCTGTGGATCTCGGCTTGTCCATGTCTGACGCCAGCCTGTAGTTACGGCGGGTCAGAGCGGTGCCGCCTCCCTTAGAACTCATGGTGTCTGACTGGAGCCACCTGACCCACACACTGCTGCCAGAGACACACCTGTAAACACCACCACCATCGTCGTGTCCAATCACAGCACAGGGCAAGGCAGCTGTGTCACAAACAGCAGCCACATGTTCAGGAGAGCGCCTGGCACCTGACATAAACATCTCCTGCCCTCTCTGAGTCATTACCGTGTACTTTTACTACTTTGCCCCAATCCTACCTGTGTACTTTTACTGCCTAAAGAATTTAATCATGCTGGATTTACTTTAACTGTATGTAACTGATACACTGCGATTACCCTCTCCTAGGTCTAATATTATGTACTTTTATCACCTTGCTACATACAGCTGATGATGAAGTGTAGTCTCGGGGTAGCCCTGAGCAATGATGAAGCACAGCTAGCTCGGCTGTTAGCATGCCGCCTGACCCCCGTTAGCTCACCGGAGCACTGAGGCTCGGCAGACCGGTCCGTTATAACCCTGTCGGCGGGACTTTGGGGGCTGAGTGTCGAGGTAATTACTGGACACATCAGTCGAGCATCGCTCGGCTGTAGGCAGTTACATGTCACACAGCTGGTAGCAGGCTAACAGCTAGCGGCTAATGACAGCGACACTCACCGCCTCCGGCTGCTCGGACGGGCCGCTGCTCCGCTGTAGCCGCCGCTAGCTCTGGTAGTCCGGCTGATAGTTGTGAATTGAGCCGCTGGATATCGGCGATAAGAACCTAATCTTCACAACAACACCGGAGTCTTATCTGCTGTTAACGCCTCTCACGGTACGGAGGGCAGACTGGGACAAGAAGGGCAAAAACGAAAAAACGCGAAGGCAGAAATATGTGTGTAGGTGTGTGTGTGTGTGTGTCGTCGTTCGTTTATGGCTGATCAAAACACAATTAAATACAAATACAATTAAAAAGTTAAATTAACGTTTTTAAATATTATTACATATATAATATTATGTATTATGAGCTTTAAATATAAATGCTAGCAGCAGTTCACAGATAAATTTAAAACAGTCTTACATGCAGCATCAAACACACGTTAAAATATACTGTGACTCTGTGGTAGGCTGAAAAGTGTGAGACAAGAACATTTAGGAAGATATGAATATGAAAATATAAGAATAATCATTAGTTGGTTAAACTGGTCAGAAATTATAACTGATGGAGTCATTAAACTCTCTCTGAACCTTTCAAATCAAAGCATTGTTTTTGTGCATATGCAGTAATAATGTTCAGAGGGCACACCTGGCTTTACTTTAAGAGACTCCACCTGAGAACCTGTGGATAATAAAAGATCTCGTCTCGTCTTGAGTTCAGTCAGAGGTTTATGTCTCCATCTTGTGGTCCTTCTGTGTCATTACTGACTGCAGTTCACGCAGATGACAGCAGGATTAAATAAACGTTTTCATGACGTAAATGACAGCATGACTTCAGAGAGCCAACGTGCTTCATCTTTGGCTCTCATAACTTAGCCATCGTTCATGGCCGTTCATGGCCACCATTTAGTCAGAATCAGAATAAAGTATTCTGATTATTTTCAGCAGCTCTTCTCAGAAAGATAATCCACCTGCTCCTCCTGGTTTCACAAGTCCAGTGAACCTCAGGACTGGAGCCAGCCCAACACAAATATGAATAGGACAGCTATGAAACAGGCCACTTTAATGTGCATGTGATTTATTTAAAATACAGAACACATGTTGAGTTGTATACTTAACTTAAAAAAATACAATTTCTGTTTAATTTAAGTTAATACTATACAATTCAATTTTAATAATGAAGCGCAAAAGTATCTATAAAATAAAAAATATGAAATATGAAATACAATCAAATAAATGATCAGAGAGACACTGCAGACTTGACCGAAAGATCAAGAACATTGTCAAATATGGAGCCTCGTTCCGACCCCTGGAATATGGCCTCTGATTGGCTGACCTGTTTTAACCCTAACCCTAACCCTGTTTTTATTGGTTACTGAGTAGCCAATGGCAGATTCACCTGTGGAAGGTTCCATCGTAGGTAGTGGGGAGGGGGGATCTATGGTTCCTGAAGGTTTGTAAACATATTTGCTCTTCTTTAGTCCAATCTGAGAGATTAAGAGTGGTTTTCTAGTGACACGTTGGTAAAGTAGAGTTATGTCACCAATGCGTAGCGACAGCGTAAAGCACTTGAACGATATAAGTAAACCAGTGTCCCCTTCCCGGTCGCAGTGAGTTGGGATGTGTGTGTAGTCGACGAGGGGGGTCGGTGTTACCTGAAAGTTGATTCCGATCGTTTATTGATCCATCCTCCGGCCAGATCGGCTCTGCTAGCGGGTCTATAGGCTTTTTCCTTCAGCGTGAATCAGCGGCCTGTGGCGGGAAGATGCTCCACGTGAGGGCGGCCGTGTGTCGGTCCTGGAGGGGGTAGGTCTGCGCATGTCTCCCGCACGAGACTCCTTGAGTTCTGCAGCATGTCATTTAGCTAATTAGCCTCCTCAGGGCCTCCGACTCCGATAACCTGATCGATAACCGATGCTGTAACGGGACGGATCATGCGTGGAGGTCCAGGCTGGCCGTGTGGGGCGGTAACGGTCCAGTGGGTCGCTTGTGACAGGTTTACAGGTTATGTAATGACACCTGACCGGCAGCTGCTGCCTGAACTGAATGCACACAAACTTGAACCAAGTACTTTTACTCAAGTACTGTACGTTTAATACTACTTTCATAATCCAACACATTCAGGGAAATGGAAGGAAGCACATGTAAGAAGACACCTGCTAGACATTGTTACTGTTGGATGTTCCATTCTCTAGGGCAGAAATACCGTGGTAACTCGCACATCTCATGGAGGAATAAACCACATACACGTTGTTAGAGTTTTACTTCAGAGGCACACGCCTTCCTCACACACTTCCGTATTTATACCTTTCAGATTAAGAGCACATACATATATGATAGGGCAACAGTTACCTTTCGCACCTCCGGTGGTGCCATCTGGGTACCACTCCATTAATCCCGGAAGATCTTTAAGAATACATTTTATTACGCCATTTACCTGAAAGGTGTGTTTACCCGAGAGGCTCAGATGAAAACAAACAAGATATCTTACAAACATTTGATAAAGAAGTCGGTGTGTAAACTTGGTGTCAAACAGCTGGTTCTAGGAGCCACAACCAAAGGGACCAGTCCAGGCCGGAGGGCGTGGAAAAATACCTAAATTCAATTCAGTTTTATTTGTCCAGTAATCACAGCAACAGTCATCTCAAGGAGCTTTATAACGTGAGGTGAAGACTCTACAATAACACAGGGAAACAATCAGATGACCCCTATGAGCAAGCACTTGGTGGCAGTGGGAACAGGAAGAAACCCTTCAGCCGTGTAGTGCTGCGCAAATAAAGCAATGAACCATTTCACCAACTGTACTGAAAATCGGTTCATTCATGCAAAGCGTCGTTTCAGTGACATCTAGTGGTGAAAAAGGAGACAGCGTAACAATGTTGAACTAATGGTGCTGAGTGTAATGAAGGTCTGCGTGGACGATGAAACACAATTTTGCAAAGATGGATGGTCTGTGGATTCTGTAAACTCCTGTTATGTAGTAGTTTGAAGAAGGCGTGCCGGGGAAACGGAGGATGTGAGGGATGGTGTGGTTGTTTCCATGGGATCGAGATTTTAATGACAAACCATCATTTTCCACTGTTTTTGTTTCTTTTCTTGTTGAAAATGTCTCCAGCTTTCAAAAACGCACATTCACACGGCACTGAGGCGATACAAAGCGTTATCGACGGTCTCGACCAGTCATGTGATTTATTCAGGGGACCTCATTGGTCACATGTGATTTTCCACACTGAAGCAGTGGTTCAAGGAAAATGCACCTTGGAAGCTTTGGAGTATCGATGTCATGCTGCCATCACCGCCTGGTTTTATGGCGTGGCCTGCAGTGCACGTGTAATGACACGTTCACCTGTACAGTCAGTCATTTACATTAAAAGCACACGTGGCACCGCGGGCTCTCTTCAGATCACACCGGCCTTATGTGGGCCGTTAAAACGGGGAGTTTCAGGGGTGTCGATGACTCTGGGTTTACAGTGCAATTAAGTAGCAACAGAGCTTTCAAAATAGGAGCGATGAGGATTCTGAATTATGGATGGTTTTGTTGTCCTGTCTGAGTGAAATGATGATATTTGAGCTCCAGGTGAATCTGTAGCCTCGCCTGGGTAACCTCTGTATGTGGCAATCCTGAGTCTTTACATTAAGGTCAGTTCTGAAGTTCAACCTGACATACGTACCACACGAACGCCACGTGTGTTAATCAAAATCAGAAGAGCTGCTTGTTAACGTTAAGGTACTGCTACACGGGATTACCTGCTCGTTAAGGTCATCCACTGCGTTTCGCATGATTTTCACTGAACGGGCTCAGATTCATTTTGCTGTCATCGTTTGGGCCGCAGAGCCACATGGGTGTGTGTGAATGCCCGACATGCCGCCAGCCGGCGTGTCGCCGCCTCCTCCTCCAATGCAAACAGCAGCTGGCCGACCTTCTGCTCAGAGTTCAGACGGGTTAATCATAGATGAAGGAGGCGCTGCAGCGATCCGGCTCAGCTGGATCCGGCTGGAATAACCAGGTCGTGAGAAACATCAGCAAACAGCGCGGCTCTACAACGGCCTCGGTTCATCTTCCTCTCACGCACACCTGCACAGATAAACAACAGACCCAGCAGAGAAACATGTAAGTCTGTAATGTCAGTGCTCTGAGACGCTCGGGAAACCGTGGCAACTGATGCAACCACCAATAGGAGGAAGGATGCGTGTGATTGACATGTGGGGGGGTGACACATTAGGGGGGTCGCAGAGAAGAAGAAGAAGCTGTGACTTGAAGACATGGAGGTCCTGACAGACGGCTTGCCTTCAGTCAGCTCATCCCTGTGACGGCAGAAAACCTGCAGAGAGGAGAGACTGTGTGTGTGTGTGTGTGTGTGTGTGTGTGTGTGTGTGTGTGTGTGTGTGTGTGTCTGTCTGTCTTTGGTTACTGATTAGCTGCACAGTTCAGGAGTCCAGCATCCTCTCAGTGGAACCAGTTTGATCAGCTCAAATCCAGCTGCTCCAGGCTGGTTTTATGTACCCTGATGTGTCTGTGTGTGTGTGTGTCTGTGTGTGTGTCTGTGTGTGTGTCTGTGTGTGTGTGTGTGTGTTTGCAGGTTTAAGACGTTCCCCTGTGCAGCTGTGGAGGTGAAGAATGAGCCGATCCTGAGCTTCAAAGAGGGCAGCCATGAGAGGGTGGAGCTGCTGAAGGTCTGAGCTCACTCTGCTCCTCCTCACCCTCTCCTTCTTCTCACTCCTTCGCCCCTCCCTCACCCCTCTCACTCCTTACTCCCTGCTGTGTGTCTGCAGGCCTTGGCGAGCCTGAAGGGGAGGACGGAGGAGATCCCGTGTGTGGTGGGAGACGAGCACGTGTGGACCAAAGACATCAGATACCAGCTCTCTGTGAGGAAACGCTGGTTGCTCAGTCTGGTCACGTTTACCTTTAGCGCACGCTGAGGGGTCACCGCTCTCTCTCCTTTCCTCTTGCAGCCCTTCAATCACTCACACAAGGTGGCGAAGTTCTGCTACGCTGACAAGGTGAGCTCATCGCAGGTCTGAGTGACGGAGGTGCAGCATGACAGGACTCCTGCCCTCTAATCGTGAAGCGTCCGTGCTCTCGGGGCAGAAACCCTGGTTGTCAGTATGTTTTGGTCATGTCCTCTGTGTCCCGTGCAGGAGCTCATCAACAAAGCCATCGCGGCGTCTGTGGCGGCGAGGAAGGAGTGGGACCTGAAGCCCGTCGAGGACCGAGCTCAGATCCTCTTCAAAG